CCTTGCACCCCCTCAACCCCTTTTCAGCACACTTTTAACCCTCTCCAACCCCTTTAATCACATTTTTAACCCCTTTTCAGCACATTTTTAACCCACTCCAACCCTTTTCAGCCCACTTTTAACCCCCTCAACCCCTTTTCAGCCCATTTTTAACCCCTTTCAGCCCACTTTTAACCCCCTCAACCCCTTTTCAGCCCATTTTTAACCCCTTTCAGCCCACTTTTAACCCCCTCAACCCCTTTTCAGCCCATTTTTAACCCCTTTCAGCCCACTTTTAACCCCCTCAACCCCTTTTCAGCCCATTTTTAACCCCTTTCAGCCCACTTTTAACCCCCTCAACCCCTTTTCAGCCCATTTTTAACCCCTTTCAGCCCACTTTTAACCCCCTCAACCCCTTTTAGCACATTTTTAACCCCTTTCAGCACATTTTTACCCCCCCAACTCCCTTTTCAGCCCATTTTAACCCCTTTTCAGCATGTTTTTAACCCCTGTCAGCACATTTTATCCCCCCAAAACCCCTTTTCAGCACAGTTTCAACCCCTCCAACCCCTTTCAGCCCATTTTTAACCCCTTTCAGCCCACTTTTAACTCCCTCAACCCCTCTTCAGCCCATTTTTAACCCCTTTCAGCCCACTTTTAACCCCCTTAACCCTTTCCAACCCACTTTTAACCCCTTTTCCTCCTTTTTTTGGGGCTGGGGCGCCAGGTTTCAAAACAGGAAGAATTCTTCAACCTCTCCCACTGCCAGCTGGTGACTCTGATCAGCCGGGACGAGCTGAACGTCCGCTGCGAGTCGGAAGTTTTCCACGCCTGCATCAACTGGGTGAAGCAGGATTGCGCCTCCCGCCGCCCTTACATCCAAGCCTTGCTCCGGGCCGTCCGCTGCCACTCCCTCACCCCCCTCTTCCTCCAAACCCAGCTCCAAAAATGCGAAATCCTCCGTTCCGACAGCAGCTCTCAAGATTACCTGGAGCAGATTTTCCAGGATTTAACCCTTCACAAACCCACCCCTTTTTTCCCCACCCGCGCGCCCAAAGTCGGGCAGCTCATTTACACCGCCGGGGGTTATTTTCGCCAATCTTTGAGTTTTTTGGAAGCTTTTAATCCACGGGATGGCTCATGGATACGTTTGGCCGATCTTCAGACCCCCCGGAGCGGGTTGGGGGGTTGCGTGGTGGGGGGGTTGTTTTACGCCGTGGGGGGGAGGAATAATTCCCCCGACGGCAACACGGACTCGGCGGCCATCGACTGTTACAACCCCATGACTAATCTCTGGTCCCCCTGCGCCCCCATGAGCGTCCCCCGAAATCGGATCGGGGTGGGGGTCATCGACGGGCTCATCTACGCCGTGGGGGGGTCGCACGGCTGCATCCACCACAGCAGCGTGGAGAGGTGAGGAGGGGGCAAAAGAATCAGCGGGGGGAGACCTGGCCCCGGTAGATGGCCTTTTGGGGAGGTAGACCTGGCCTGGCCACCGGGGGGTAGACCTGGCCTTCGAGGGTGGGGTAGACCTGGCCTTTGGGGGTAGATGGCCTTTTGGGGAGGTAGACCTGGCCCTCCCGGGGGGAGGTAGACCTGGCCCCCCGAGGGGGAGGGTAGACCTGGCCCCCCAGGGAGGTGAATTGGGCTTTGTTTTGAGAGGAAATTTGCCCCAAAAGGGCAGAAATTTGGCCCCAGGGGGGTTAGGAATTGCCCCAGGGGTTTAGGAAGTGCCCCAAGGGGTTAGGAATTGCCCCAAGGGGGTTAGGAAGTGCCCCAGGGTTGAGGAGATCTGCCCCAGGGGGGGGTGGGAATGTCAGTTTGGGTTTGCACCAAGGGGGGTAAAGGTGGAATATCTG